TGTTATTTTGCTGCAGTCAATATTACAAAGAAAGATCTGAAACATGAACATATCCAGAAATCAACGCCACTTTGCTTATTTGAATATTATACTAAAGAAATCGGATACAGGTCACGGAAATTATATTGAAATGATAGGGAATTTTGAAAACAAATGTCTGTTTTAACTTTAATTTAAGTGATAGACAGGTTGAGGGAACAGAAAATAAATATACACAACAATATTCACCATTTAAACGAAACATAATGACTGTCGTTGCAAAAATCAAGGTTCCTGAGCTATTTAAAAATCGAAGCGAGATACTTTTAACATTGCACTATAAAATACAGGCTAAAATGGTTGAAACGTATAATTTGCAAACTTCGTGTTGAAAATTGGCTAACAAGGTCATTACAAAAACAGGTTGCGGGGATGAAACTTGAAACTTGAATGTCCAAATAATAAGCAAGTCCAAACCTTGTATGTGTAGTCGTTGATCATGAACTCTAGGTTCCCACGTAAAGTTAAAATGCCCCTATTTCAAGAAGAATAAACTCACGAAAAAACGAAAAATTCACTAAATTCGCGTTCATTGTTTTGATTTTGACCGCCTGACAACTTTACGGAAATATCAGAGTGATTATAAACAAGGACTCTGTGACGGGCAACTTATAATATCCGTGTTTTAAAGATTTTAATGATATCAAGCCAGTCCAGTTCAAAATATTATCGCGTGGTACAATTCTCATTTACATATTATGAATATTAATTAGCAAAAGTACTACTAATTTCTGGCTATGAGGAATACTGCTAACAGATTTCGTTTTTGTGAAATAAGTGCATATATTATCATGCAATTATGACATCATAATATTATATATGAGCTGCGTCGTCAGATAGAAATCGACCTAATGCAAGTGCACATTTACATTCCGTATCAACTTTACAAATAATACACGATGGTCTTGAAGTATAGATTCTAGTTACTGACGTTGTTTTTCAACTTAATAACGTGTTATAGTATTCTGAAATTTATTACTTTTACTGTTTAGCCTATTTTTAGCAATATCCATTTGACGTGTCTCGGTACTTGTACATCCCGTCATTGAGTCGTTGTGCTATGGTAAATTTTTGTATTCTTGTTTTTCGTTTTTGCTAATGTGCTTTGTCTTTATACCTTTTTGTTTGACTTTGTTGACATATTTGCTTGTTTTTGTAGTGATTCATTTGACGTGGCTCGGTACTTGTACATCCCGTCATTGTATTGTTGTGCTATGGTAAATTTTTGTATTCTTGTCTTTCATTTTTTCTAATGTGCTTTGTCTATATGCCTTTTTGTTTGTCCTTGTTGACATATTTGCATGTTTTTGTAGTGATTAAGATTATAACACAATGTTGACTGCTGTACCCCTATTTTTGACATTTTTACCTATTATGTCTGTTTGTTTTGTTCACACATCGGTGTCAATATAATGGAATTTTATGCGACTGTCATACAATGAGAGGTTTAGCTAGCTATAAAACCAGTTTTAATCCACCAATTTCTACATAAGAAAATGCCTGTACCAAGTCAGGAATATGACAGTTGTTATCCATTCGTTTGATGTGTTTGAGTTTTTGATTTTGCCATTTGCTTAGGGACTTTCCGTTTAGAATTTTCCTCGGAGTTCGGTACTTTTGTTATTTTACTTTTGCATGTACATTTATACATGCATAAGACTTTGATTGATTTTGGAACATTCAAATATGAAATAAAAGATTAATTTTAGTCTGTTTTGTATCAACTCAAATTTTAAAACAGTTACAGACTTTGCATATAGATTTTTTCAACCCGAAAATAGTTAACAGATGTATTAATATTTATTTGCATAAGGTCGATTACTATCCGACGAAGCTCATAGTTTGTCAAATTCATTTATTTTTCTTAATTTTATATATTCCTCTTATATCATGTCCAAATTTGAATTTCATGTACTCCCAGAGACTACCATTTTCTTGGACCTTGATGCAATACAAGTCCCCTTTTGTTCATTTCCTTTGCAAAAATAATGTTAAAGACAGAGTGAACAGAGATTTTAGTGCTTACTTTTCATAGAAATAAGATGATGTTCAAATATGTACATGTAAGCAGCAAACAGGAAGTAGATAAGTGATGGATCTTACAATTATGATTATAATATACAAAACAAAAGCAATTTGTGTGTATGGGTAATTGTAGCAAAATCTCAAATAGTGATAAAGGGACGACCAATGATTGTGAAAGGGGATGGGGTGCTGGCAAGTTTGGAAATAAATATTCTGGCACCTATTAAGTTGGAAATAAATAAACTTGACGCATCATACTTGAAAATATATATTCTGACCCAAAAAAATGAAAACGTACAATCTTTTTTCACTCGCTCTGCTCGCCAATTGTACAAAGCATATACATGCATACAAATATACATAAATATTGTCGGTGGCAGTTGATCGTAAAAGAAGGGGCTTAAAATCAAAAGTCAGATTTTCTTTACCTTTACCTTGTGATAATTAGGTTCCTTCGTAGTATTTTTCTTTTTAATGCTCTAAATATAACAATTTTTATGTTAATTGGAGGAGAGGAATGTTGTCTAGGGTTTGGGAAAAGTGTCAAAGAAGAAAAAAACAAACAAACTTAGATTGTTTCTAATTAAATTTCACTTTTGTAAATGATACATATTTGTATTGTTTATTGTATATTTGTGTTATTTTGTAGCAGTCCGATTGTTCAGATTTTATACTTATAAATATCTTATATCTTACATCATAGGACCCAGTTGTCTATATCCTGTCCTGGCTGGTACACAGTGGGTCTCAACCAACAAATTTGGGTACAGACGTCCGGTTGGGGTTTGAAAAACACCTCCAATTCATATATTGATTTTTGTCAGCTAATGTTTTCTTCTTTACCAAAGAAATGACATGGAAAATGTACCAAGGATTCGAGTTCATTTGCAGAATATCTAACTCAACTTTTGTGATAAAGGTTATTTATTCAGAATATCATAAAAGAATTATACAACTAACCCTGACTTTAACCATAAACTTACCATAACCATAAAAGAACCCTTACCCTCACAGGGTCCCCTGTAGTAAACTAAAAATGTCCTAACTTTGAACACCATATTCAACTTAATGATCACCATACCATACTAACCAAATGAATGTGAACTACTTTGTTTTAAGTCGTAATTCTTTACCTAAAATCTCCAGTTTCCTTGATCTGTTGACAGTTCTCTGTTCATGAGTTGTCATCAAAATGAGTAGATTTTGAAGTTGTCGTCGTAAAAGGTTTAAAAACGTTCTCATTGCAGGCCTTCGTTGACTTCAGCGACAATAAAGCTTTTGTGTGAGTTGCCTGATACATTTCATTGATTCATATTCCCTGGATTTTCATTGTCAAGCTAAATTAACAACAAAACGTATTGTTGACAATCTTCTGCCAGCGTCCTTCTCGTCATCATAATCTACATCTGAGAAGCGTTTTAAAAACCGACTCCGGACGCAAGATTTACGGATAGCGTCACGATGAAGTCTTTTTCACCTTTTCATATACTTTTGACTTATTCTTGAAAACTATAAGATAATTCTATATAGAATTACTGAAAAATGACAAAATTTTGCAGTACTAAAATTGACTGAAATTTTCAGTACTGAAACATGACTAAAATTTTCTTCTTCCCGACTTGTTTCGTTATTATTATGAGGCTGACTTCATACAGGAACTTCTAAGGAAGAAAGATAAGAAGTTAGCAATATCCTTTAATTTTACGTCCCGCTATATAGATGATGTTCTCTCACTAAATAATACAAAATTTGGTGACTATGTTGAACGAATCTATCCCATCGAACTAGAGATAAAGGATACTACAGATACTGTTAAGTCTGCCTCATATCTTGACCTACATCTTGAAATTGACAATGAAGGTCGGTTGAAAAAAAAAACTTTACGACAAAAGAGATGATTTCAGCTTCCCAATTGTGAACTTTCCATTTCTATGTAGAAATATTTCAACAGCGCCTGCATACGGAGTATATATCTCCCAATTGATACGATATTCCAGGGCTCGTTTTTTCTATCATGATTTCCTTGATAGAGGATTGCTGCTCACAAGGAAGCTATTAAACCAAGAGTTCCAAATGGTGAAGTTGAAATCATCCCTTCGTAAATTTTACGGACGCCATCATGAGTTGGTTGACCGTTATGGAATAACCGTTTCACAGATGATATCGGATATGTTCCTTATGTCGTAACTACAATACCCTTCCCTTTTCACGAATGTGACCTACCGAATTAGACTATTTATCGGATTTGTAATAACATAAGCAACACGACGGGTGCCACATGTGGAGCAGGATCTGCTTACCCTTCCGGAGCACCTGAGATCACCCCCAGTTTTTGGTGGGGTTCGTGTTGCTTAGTCTTTAGTTTTCTATGTTGTGTCATCTGTACTATTATTTGTCTGTTTGTCTTTTTATTTTTGGCCATGGCGTTGTCGGTTTGTTTTCGATTTATGAGTTTGAATGTCCCTCTGGTATCTTTCGTCCCTTTTTTTCAATACAGAAAAATGACTGAAATTTTCAGTATAGTAAAATGGATGGAATTTTCAGTGCTGAAAAATGACTAAAATTTTCAGTATTGAAAACAAATTTTTCTCAACATTTATGAAAACATGCATATAAATATATATCCCCTGAAAAGTTATGGGTAAGAAATGTACTGATTGATGATAATTTTTACCAGTACTGTATATGTAGTGGCATTAAAAGTACATTTAAACGTTATGTAAATTCCTGGTAGTGTAGGACATTTCAATTTCAAAGGATGGGGTCTAAATTCTATGCATGGGGACACCACCATGCATAAAATTTCTAGGGAAAACAATGAGTCAATTAAAACTATCTTGTAAATAAAATGTACCTTTATAATAGAAAATGACCTTTGAAATTGAATTCAGTCAAAAAGTCATGTATCTTCACTTAAATTTTATTTTTATTACAAGAGTCTCTGGAAAGCCAAGCAAAACAAAAGGATAATTTTATGTAATGGACTTATGTAGGTAAGTATGAGTATGTATATGTATGTATATAATATTTTGTGAAAAAGCTGTTTATATCTGCATTGGTCCGCATGCAAGATTTGGGGAGTGATTTGTAACAAAAACATTTTTGTTATTCCGAACGCAGAGCTATAGTTTAACTTGATGCCTTCAATTACCAGGTTTATTTTGTAGACCTCAAACTTCAAATGTTTCATGTGTTGCCTATAAATAAGATAAATAAAAACTGACTTTCTTATGATCACAGCACTTAAAAACTGCTTGATTTTGTAGGTAAAAAGATCAGTCGTGTTTACAATTTAGTATTATAATACATTTTTTCATTCAAATATTATTGTTTTCAATTTTATTTTCCTCACATATTGTTCTCTTTCTGGTATAAATCCCCTAGTTCATTGATGTAAGATTACCTTTGGGCTTCCTGTAGCAAAAAATATGTGATATAGTGTAGTATACGGTTTTATTCAAATTCATAAATATCTAGAGTGTTGTTCATTACTGTGTTTTGTGTGGGTACATTTCCAGTTGTAATCACAGATTTAATATCACAAGGGAGACAAAGCGTGTATAAAGTCACTGATGTTATTTCGTAATGTTTAAAAAAATAAAAAACTGTCAGTATAGATGAGAAAAATATTAAAGTAAGCTTAACTGCATGATTATAAATGCAATTCTTTTCTTTTAAGATGAAGATATCTCCAAGAAGAGACGCATTTAGAAGATGGAACATTCAATTGTTATTGTTATTATTTCAACAACTTATAAATTTCATTGTACTGATTATAGAATATTTTAAATATCAATATATTGAATTCAATTTTAGGAACTTTGCTTTTGGTATATATTCTGCAACAGACGTGTTTCTTAAGGAGAATAAATACTATTGTGATAATTATGAAAATATACCATTTTCTAATCTTAAGGAATTCAGTTTTTATTTCATGACTCTAGGCATTGGCCGTTATTAAACCCGCAAGGGACAAGACTCTTGCTGAATCAAAACTGTATATAAAAACTAAAGGAAACATCTAATATACTTTGTAGGTTATCCTTTGTATATTATATGTATATGTCAATAAATGTATTTGTGGAATTGCAACAATGATTAACATTTTAACAAGGATTGTCAATCACAACACACAGACAAACTTGATTTAAGACAGCTTTGACTGTTCTGTTTCAGCTTAAAAATAAGGAGTTGTGTTAGTACTGCCAACGAAACAACATATACCAAAGGTATTGTATGTTGGTTTTTATTCCATCAAATGTTTTATATCTTTGTCTTTCTAATTATCTTGGTGTCAAATGTACTTATAATGAAGGTTATAGAAACATGGGAAATCATATCACGTATTTTTTTTAAAATTTGGCATAATAGTATACAACTATGTTATAAAACAAGAAAAACGAAGTCTGATCTGTAATTTGATACTGACATCGCCTGTCAAAGAGAAATTTGTGGTCAATATAACATAACGAGATATTGTATGATTGCCAATGAGACAACTATCCAACATAGTCCAAATGAAGCGGATTTAAGCAATTATAATTATATGTTTCTGTATGGCCTCCATCAATGAACAATACCCATACTAGTTGTATAGAATATATAATTGTGAACTAGTTAACTTGACAGATAGGTTTTATGGATGATTTGGCGACCGTAAAATTTACGAAGGAATGATTTCAACTTCACCACTTGGAACTCTTGGTTTAATAGCTTCCTTATGAGCAGCAACCCTCTATCAAGGAAATCATGATAGGAAATATAAGCCCTGGAATATCATATCAACTGGGAGATACATACTCCGTATGCGGGCGCTGCTGGAATGATGCTACATAGTAATGGAATTAAGTCTTATAATATAAGGTTCATAAGTGTTTCTCGTTTCTCGTTTTTTTTATATAGATTAGACCGTTGGTTTTCCTGTTTGAATTGTTTTACACTAGTCATTTTGGGGCCCTTTATAGCTTGCTGTTCGGTGTGAGCCAGGGCTCCGTGTTGACGGCCGTACTTTGACCTATAATTGTTTACTTTTTATACATTTTGACGTGGATGGAGAGTTGTCTCAGTGGCACTCATACGACATCTTCTTATTTATATATTATGTAGCCGAAACGAGCGTTTATGGTAATAACGTATAGCCTGATAATAGCATTGGTGTGGTTTTTTTTCAAATAAAACAGAAGACAATTTTTTGTCTTTGTTAGAATTTCTTCCTATTTAGATAAAAGTCGCGTTTTTATTCATTGAGTAGGCCAAATCTCCAAAACGGTAGAGCATAATATTCTTCAGATGATGACAAAAGGCAATAGATAGTTTTATCTTAATAGAAATAATCCCATCTTCTTTGTAGATTCAACAAAACAGTGGTTTCAATGAACGTAATTTATGTAGAACTGGTTAGGGATTTCGTTACCACAAATTAAATAAAAAGTTTACTTAATTCTTCTATATATACAACGATTTGGTAAGGAAGTTTGGCTGCACCTGTAGAATTCTTATTAAAAACGGGAAATCACATTCTAAATTTTACGGCCATATAATTCATTAAGGACGATCCGTATAAAATCTGTGATCCTTAGATAAACTTATTCTTTAAGGTTATCAATTTAACACCGTAGTGAAATCTTTAAATATTGTTGTAATCAGTACGTACACTGGTTAGGGATTTCGTTACCACAAATTAAATAAACGTTTACTAAATTCTTATATATATACAACGATTTGGTAAGGAAGTTTGGCTGCACCTGTAGAATTCTTATTAAAAACGGGAAATCACATTCTAAATTTTACGGCCATATAATTCATTACGAACGATCCGTATAAAATCATTGATCCTTAGATAAACTTATTCTTTAAGGTTATCAATTTAACACCGTAGTGAAATCTTTAAATATTGTTGTAATCAGTACGTACACTGATTCTGATTCTGATAAATTAAAACATAACTAATATATATTTTCCTATCTATGTACAGTTATGAGTAATCATGATCCTACATCGTGTCGATACCCTTTACTTTGTTTTTTTGGCATTGCACAAGGTCATGCGCTTATCTGACCGTTTATGACGTCTTACAATAAATCCATTGGATGTGTATTGATTGATACTTTATGAGTTTTAATTGATTGGCTTTGACCTAGCTTTCAGTAACTGCAAGTACTCTTATTTCGGTGCTTTGTGACTATTATTTTTATGTTAGTTGTCTTATTTGTGCTTCGTACCGATTTACTGAGTTTAGCCATATACAACTGATTTTTACAGTGTTTTCTAATGTTGTGCTGTAGCATCACTGTCCATGGTTAGGGTAGGGTTGAACGCTTACAAACATGTTTAACCCCGCCACATCATGTATGTGTCTGTCCCAAGTTAGGAGCATGCAAGTCAGTGGTTGTCGTTGGTTCATGTCTGTTATATATGTTTTTCGTAATTTGTATTCTATAAAAGAGGGACGAAAGATACCAGAGGGACAGTCAAACTCATAGATCGAAAACACACTGACAACGCCATGGCTAAAAATAAAAAGACAAACAGACAAATAATAGTACAGATGACACAACATAGAAAACCAAAGACTAAGCAACACGAACCCCACCAAAAACTGGGGGTGATCTCAGGTGCTCCGGAAGGGTAAGCAGATCCTGCTCCACATGTGGCACCCGTCGTGTTACTTATGTTATTACAAATCCGGTAAATAGTCTAATTCGGTAAGTCACATTCGTGAAAAGGGAGGGTATCGTAGTTACGACATAAGGAACATATCCGATATCATCTGTGAAACGGTTATTCCATAACGGTCAACCAACTCGTGATGGCGTCCGTAAAATTTACGAAGGGATGATTTCAACTTCACCATTTGGAACTCTTGGTTTAAATGCTTCCTTGTGTGCAGCAATCCCCTATCAAGGAAATCATGATAGGAAACACAAGCCCGGGAATATCGTATCAATTGGGAGATATATACTCCGTATGCAGGCGCTGCTGGAATGTTGCTACATAGAAATGGAAAGTTCACAATTGGGAAGCTGAAATCATCTCTTTTGTCGTAAAGTTTTGTTTTCAACCGACCCTCATTGTCAATTTCTAGATGTAAGTTAAGATATGAGGCAGTCTTAACTGTTTCTGTAGTATCCTTTATCTCTAGTTCGATGGGATAGATTCGTTCAACATAGTCACCAAATTTTGTATTATTTAGTGAGAGAACATCATCTATATAGCGGAACGTAGAGTTAAAGGATATTGCTAACTTCTTATCTTTCTTCCTAAGAAGTTCCTGTATGAAGTCAGCCTCATAATAATAAAGAAACAAGTCGGCAAGAAGAGGGGCACAATTGGTTCCCATTGGAATTCCGACAGTCTGTTGAAAAACACGTCCTCCAAACGTAACAAATATGTTGTCAATCAAGAAATCAAGCATCTTGATAATGTCAGTTTCAGAGAATTTTTGTTTGAATCAGAGTGATTCTTTACAAAGTAGGATTTATCCCTCCCCAAGACAAGATTCTTGTATCTACGTTCGCCATTCTTTTTAATGAAACAAAGTAATACCAACTCTTTCAATTTTTCTTTTAGTTTGGAATATAAATTAAATATAAATTAGGCAGCTGGTTTTCTCGTTTGAATAGTTTCACATTTTCATGTTATAGCCTTATAAAGCGGACTATACACTACCAAGAATTAACTCGCACGCACTTTCCTTGCACTTTTTTACCCTCTAATAAATCAGTACTGAGCGGCTACTTGATAAAATTGTAATGTTATACTTTCAGTCAATTCAGTACTGCTTATTCTTGTACTTATATTTGTACAGTTACTTATTTTATGGATTCAGTACTGATTTTTATTGTAACTGTTTCAGTACTGATTTTTCTATACTATACTGACGGACTTTAAAAACGCAAAACACGTTTTGGTGATTTGTTTTCCCAATTTATGATGGACCCTCATATCACTACTATTCTTGCTTCCATATTTCTTTCTGTTTAGAAAAATTCATTACCTAACTTACTTGAGGGTTATTGAACATAGCAGATTATTGCAGTCGCACGAGTTTCTAAAAGCGAAAATTGAAACCCATAATAAAAATCCTAAATAGGCCATTCGAATATTGCAGGCAGGAATACATGAACGTGCTGTTGCTAGACAATTTCACGTCAGGAACTCCTTTTACTGTCCTTACAACAACGGTACAGGCAGACGGGATTTGCTGATGATCACTCATGACCAGATCAATATGTAGTGACAACGCCTCGTCAATAAGAAAATTGATTACGCAACGTCATTTGTGAGACATGTTTACAGTCGCAACGTCAACTGCTAATCAAGTCGTCGAATGCCGTGGCAGAAAGATTCACGCCATAAATGTGTGCCATATTTGAAAAGGAGAATTCAAAAGAATTATCTAGTGTTGCGCTTTTAAAGTCCGTTAGTATATTGATATTTTCAGTAATGTTTCAGTATTGATTTTTCCGTACTTATTTAGTACTGATTTGATTTTATCAGTAAAGTTTTAATACTTATTTTTTTCTGTATTATACTGTGTTTCCATAATGATAACAAACAAAAAAAGGAGTCATAATGTTATATGATTGCCAATGAGACAACTATTCACTAGATAGACATAAAATGTTAATATAAAGTTTAGTTAATTCTTAGATACCCATGTTTATTAATTGGGTGTTGTTTACATTATATGCGGAAATAGTCTTTGATGTTGCAAAATAAAATAGCATCACATTGGAATTCCGAGACTGTGGTACAACCAACGTCAATCTTTTTTGAAAATTGTCTGAATGATGTTTGTCTAGGATGGGTAATCTTTACCCGTATTCATGCAGCAACACTTTTATCTTACCAGAATTTAAACTGACAGCATATGCATTTGCACAAAAAGAAATTTATCAATATAAACCCCGTTAGTGAAGAAAACCCAAATAAGTGGTTCTGGTCTGTATGCCTGACAGTTAGTTCATATGCAATACAATATTCAATCCCTATCCTCTGCAACACAAGTATGATAAAATTGAGAATGGAAATGGGGAATATGTCAAAGAGACAACAACCCGACCAAAGAGCAGACAACAGCCGAAGGCCACCAA